TTCAAGTCCTTATAAAGAAAATTTTGGTGCAGGCTGAATTCTAGTGAGCACAAAGTGCAAAATATATTCGAGTTAGTCTGAGTGACCGAAGTGCACGTAAAAATTTTTCGCGGACCTATGAGCCCTACTGGGTCGCAAGAAAACCAATGTCTGTATTTGCAGAGGCATGTACTCGTATCTCATAATTACAGACTGCAAATATTTGTAACCAATTTTGTTATAGCTTAGTTATTTGAAGCTGCTGAAACTGATCTGTAACGGTTATCGGCGCTTCACTTCCAGGAAGCAGTATTTGCAGTTGAAATTTTGATGACCAGTTGATCTCAAAAAAGAAAAAGACTGTCTTCATAAAACTTTCCCCATGTACTCGCAGTACCATACATCCTATTGTCTCCGTTACTTTCTGGCATTAATACATTATGCAGCTTCACCATAACGGTCTAATACGTTATGTTAAATCTTTACCGCTGTGATATAGGTCAGTGAAAAGTGCTTACACGATGAGAATCACGAGGAGACCTTCGTCCACTCACATGTATTGAGGATCGATTTGAAGACGACCTACCTCCGTGAATAGTATCTGAGTGTGTGGAAGCTAATGATGCGCAATCCGCGAATAGCTTCCGCGATGACGATGCCTACATAGTAAGGCTGATCGCTAAATGACAACCTAGCTCGGTTGTTAGGTAGGTCAGCCGGTATTATAACCTGCAGTTCTTACAAAATGTGTTTTTGTAGTACGTGCCATTGTCGGCTGCCCAAAATCGTCATTTTTACGTGCCCTAAATGTCACTTAAGCTTTGCAGTTCAATGAAGGGGGTCTGCTAACCGGTATCCGTTCAGATGAACCTTGTCCATTGGGTCTTGTCACAGCATTAAAGCTTGTGACGTCACACGATGAATGGAGAGTCAATGGCGTGAAGCAAATATAATTTAATGCTTATAATTGGACTTTATAGTCCCAAAAGCACGATATTATCGTGAGACGCCGTAGTCGAGGGCTCCGAAAATTTCGACCACCCGGGGTCCTTTAACGTGTGCCTAAATGTATACTCACACCATGCCTTGAGCGTTTTCACCTCCATCGAAAATGCGGCCACCGCGGCAGGTACTCAATTTCACGAACTCCGTGTCTGCAGTGGAGCACCATAGCCACTAGATATACCTAGCATGCTTGTGTGAGCATCAGTCTGCATGGACTCAATCGGTGCTCTAAAGTATTTGGAACCCTTATGCGTCACACACATCTATACTGCATTTCTCACCACATCTTTACATTCCATAGATCAAATTTAACTAATTATGCATTTATAGCAGTGAACCTTCAACAAAGGCGCAATTAACAATAAATGCGTAATTCACTGCCGTTGTCAAGTGTTCATAGGTTTCTTGTAGAGCAGACACTCGAAGGCTATAGGTTCAGGCTATATATTATTTGCATTATGTAAGTGATCATGTTCACTTCCTTCTTGTTTTGTAGATAACTTACACTATACCTATCGCACTCTATATCTACGTAACCTGCGCGCAAGGACTGCGTACTATTCAAGAATGAGATATGGACGTTTCATTATTAAGTGTTACACCCGCAAACTTATCCACAACAACGCCCACCTAGCACTCATGCACATTGTGTTGAACTTATACGTGATTAGAGAGTGTTTAAAACGAGAACTGATGGGTAGTGCATAACTCTGAAGAGCAGCGCAAAGGATCACACGTTTAACAGCAGATGAATACGGAACCCAGCGCTAAATATATATGTGTCCCGTCTTGGTCTGTTGTTCGCGTGAGTCTTTGAGCTACTGCTCCGTGTTCAGAGAGTGTTGTGACGCAGCGAAGTTTAGCGATCGTAAGAATAGTGAGTGTAGCATGGTTGAGTAATGTTCGTGTTCATGTTTTATGGTTGGCTCCAGAAGTTCTTGTGACAGCGTGTGCTATATTGCACTTTACATTTTCAAATATTCAAAAGATTACGCCTTTCTTAACGCATATGTGACGTGTTTTTTTTTTCTAAAAGAGCCAAGTGCGCTTTTGAGGAAAAACGCACTTATTTGCTACTGACAGTATGATCGGTCCTGGTTTAACGATTTGATCTCCTAAATACCTCAAATCTAAATTGGGGCTGAATTCTATGTACATAAATATAGTCGGTATTCGAGAACAAGATTTGTATTTGGTTGTTATAGAAGGGAACATTTCCGTACGGCTTGAATTACTTAGTGAAAGAAGTGTGCGTTTTTCAGAAAAAAAACGCACTTTTTTGCTACTGACAATATGTTCGGGGTCTGCTCCAACAACTTCTTGTGAGTGTGTTCTGGTCTCCTAAATACCTCAAATCTAAACAATTAAAGACGGTATGTGGGAATAAGATTTGTATATGACCCAGTCGTCCAGTTAAGGGTCGTGGAGTGGGCCACACAGGTCGCCGCCAACCTTGGGTTGATGGCCATCTAACACGGAATCATCCTCAGTTGCTTTCTGACGAAATAAAGTTTTTCCATCCATCCATGTGGTTGTTATACATGGGAGCATTTTTCTTGGGCTTGAACTACTTAGTAATAGAAGTCTAAAACAATGCTAATGTATAATATAGCAATATTTTGCAAACAAATTAACATCGTCTTTGTGCTTCCGTCAGTGCCATTCTTCATCGCAAGGGCATAATTGTGATGGCTAGACTTAAGGAACGAGTGGTCCTTCCTAGCAAAAGGCGCACTATTATGGAGCGTATTCTTGTTCTATTGTTTGCCTTGAAAAGTGATCCAGCTTTTCTTGATTTGGTTTCGTTTTTTGTCGTGTCGTTCCGGATCAATTCTTTTTCAAACAAGAAATTACTGCCCAAATTCTCTATTTCATATGTCTCTTATTTAAAATATACCGTTTTAGAGCGAAAGGAGGACTTGATACTGAAGCGCTAAACTCAGAAGAAAAACTAATATGCAAATAGTGGGGCGCAGTACAGAACAGGGACTAGAGCAGAGAACGACGACACAGGCGCACTTATTTTCTCTGGGCCCTGTTCTGTACTGCGCCCCACTGTCTCCATTTAAACCAGCCGTTACCAGCTAGCCCAAACGGCTGTTTTGTTCTAGAAAGGCGGCCCTTTCAGCTGACGCTGTCGCTATGCAGCGTGTTCCGAGCAGGCCTGGAGTTTTCATTCGTCGAACACAAATAGAGCTCACTTAATTTTGAGCTTGATCGAGTGTCTTTCGCTGATGCAGCAAGCACTGTTTAATCGCAAGCACACAGAAAGAAACCTCACAAAAAATAGGCACCCTGCTGAGCCCTACATCTACGCGTGTATATAACTATAAATGACAACACAATGTGTACATGGTATGCAGAAGCAGCAGACGTTATCGCGCTTTCCTTCTCTTATGCAAACAAGGAGGCAACGATAGACGATCAATATATGAACTAGTGCATTCTAAATGTCAAACGTTGCACTTTAATGTACGGTTTTTATGCACTACTCTGTACGTATACAATGAATGCAAAGCTGATGCATTCGGATTTTTACAGCGTGCTCAACGTAACATATCGCAGTTGCATGCACGGTCCTCATCATTGCCTTCGGGCTCTTGATTTCGCCATTCACAGCTGCAGCTGGCGTTTTCCGACATGAGAGCTCACGGAAACACGGGAACCGGCGTTGCCATGTTCGACATCGACGCAGACGAGGCGAGCAAGTGCGGCACCGCACACCGGTTCCGGAGACTGAAACATCTGAAGGATGTCATGTCAAAGCTCAAGAAGAACAACGTTGAGAAAATTAAACGAGCTGCCTCCTAAATGCCAACACGACTTTTCATGAAATTCGAGTAGGGTGCGGGATTTTATGCTGTACTATTCTGTTATATGTAGCCTACTGAGGAAACGGAGCGACGGTGTTAATACATGCATATAGTATGCCACACAAAAGTCTCAAACTGCTTCGGCTGGCGGGCCGAAGTCACGAAATTTAGTTTCACAAAAGCGGCGTGGCTTTGAGAACAGGGGAAAAAAAGGTCGGTTTTGCCGCAAGGGGGAAGCAATGAATGCGATAGCAATAACTTGGAATGTAACACAGAGAACGGCTAGCAGATCGAAACGTTCAGTGCGCTGCTCACACACAAATGAGGCACGAAAACAAAACAGACAGGACAAGAGCCAACTAACAGAGTTTACACCTCGACGCTTAACGCACTATTTATAAACACAAACGATCGACACACGAAACGTAATCACAGGTACAGATATGAGTTCGAACTAACGAGTGTTTTAGTTGTTACTTCGCTGTGTTTCGAAAAGACACAGCGAAGTAAAAAAAACACGCTCTTTTCGAAAAAAGGGCTTGCCAGCGAGCGAAGTTGACCTTTGGGGCCCAGGCAACTAACGCAATCATTGCGGTGAAAGGCCAAGGCACACAATTCTACGAACCGAAAGATAAGCGCGAGCGTACATGCACTCAACCTCCTCTTTCCCCCCTATGCGTGGGGCAAATTACGTGAGGGAGATAAGCACGAGTCGGAGCATCGCGACGAGCAGGGTGCCGAGCGCAGGCGGCTTTTTTAAGAAAGTCCTCCGACGCAAAAAAATTGTCTGCCTGTCTGTACATTTGTCTGTTTATCCGCCCTCAACGGTACCTTAAACAAAAAAAAAAACACCAGACGATACCCCAAACGGCCGACCCCATCCGCAGCGCCAAACAATATGCTCAAGATTCAGCGTTCATACTTGTGTGATTGTCAATTAAAAAGCAATTGCGCATATTTGAGGCACCATAACAACCCGTGAATATTCTCTACGTGTGCCTTTTACTAGAGAAGGCATACATAAGTAGTTGTAAGGACCGTAGCGTTTATCACGCTGCGCTGACCATGCAATGTTTGCACGAAACGGCAAGTGTTTCCAACGCTTTGCTAAGACTAAAGCCCCTTGATCAAGGGGCTTTAGATAAGACCACACGGTGGTGGCACCTACCCGTCGCCTTGCGTTCTACATCATATCACCTCCACTGCCGATAGTAGAAATTTTATTCATTGACATACACCCCGCACAGCATCTATCTAATACAACGAGGCAACAGCGATCTACGTGAAAATGCACACGAGTTGGTTCCGCACTCCACCACGCGCTTTCATCTAAGGATTCAGAAATCCTTCTTCTGTAAAAATCTTCCTCAGTTCAATAAGTTCACTTTCAGTGAGCGGCAACAGGGGTGACCTTAAAGGACCCCCGTACAGCCCGAACCATTCCATAGATGCCTTCACCCCCGCAATGCCGAAACGCTTGGTCACACCGGCGTTGGGCGCTATCAGCCGCCGCTGCAATTTGAGCGCCTCCTTCACGTCTCCGCTTTCGTGGAGCTCCTGCAGGCGGCAAACTTCGGCGCCGAGCGTGTTGGCAAGAGCGCACACGCCGCCAACAGCGCCGACTTGTAGCGATGGCAGTAGGAAACCGGCGGAGCCGGCCAACACCTGAAAGCCGGACTGTCTGGTTTTGTGCACTACGTAGCCGATCTTGGCGATCTCTCCGCCACTTTCCTTCATGCCGATCACGTTCGGGTGCGCCGACATACGTATCGCCACGTCGGCCGGCAGGTCAACGCCCGTGTTACCGGGCATGTTGTACAGAATCACAGGCACCGGGCTCTCGTCGGCCACTCGGGTGAAGTGCTTCTCGAGGGCATCGGCTGTCATGCGTCCTTTGTAGTAGCAGGGCGTAACGACCAGCACTGCGGACGCGCCGGCATTCGCGGACTGCGTTGCGAGTTCGATCGTAGCCTGCGTAGACTCCTGGCCCGCGCCAACGATGAGAAGCTTATCGTCGGGCAGCGTGGACTTCACTCGACGCACGATCTCGAGCCTCTCGTCTGTTGACAGTAGCACGCATTCGCCGGTAGAGCCATGCACTACTAGACCACGGAACGGTAGCGAGCACCAGCGCTTCAAGTTTTGCTCCAGCTTCTCGTATGACACGCGACCCGAGCCTGCGTCGAAGGGAGTCGTAATTGGCGGATAAATGCCGGAGATGTCGAGACGTTTTCCTTGAGACGCTCGCCGCAGCGCGTTAATGCGGAACCCGCCAAGCATCTGGATAGAACACGAATACACAGAGCGCGAAAACTTCGCGAGCATGATGCTACTGGGCAACACAACGTAAGATTTTTTTTCTGCGTGCAGCTAGCTAGCTTGCCAAGTTGTGGATGGTAGCGTGACGACAACCGCAGTGCTGCACTCCTCAGGCGCCACGCTGATTTCGAAGACTGGAGCAACGTCTACTGGAAATAGCGACACAACGCCTACTGGAGATAGCGACCGAAAGAAGGCGCGAGAGTAGGTTCACTGCTCGGCTCGGCTCCCCTCGTGTAATTTGGCACCGCGTCGCGCGTGGGAAATGCGGGCAGATAATCTTATCTTTCGGCGCACTTGGAACTTGTGGTTTCCCACCTTCGTAGGACTTGCGCTTTCCCCGCATTCATTAAGTGCCTCCGTAAAATTTTAAACGACCTAGGCCGTGTACTGCGGCTGTGTAATCGCTTTCGGTTCCTTGCAACCGTTCGGCAAGACAAAACACGTGTTGCAGTAATGTGCATGCACTCGATATGCTTCGAAACCAACAGAACCGCGCGATAATGCGTGAAAGACATCCTTGGCCAGATATAATACTCCCGCCAGATGGAACTTATTTGGCTAATTATTCGTGAAATTTTTCATGCGTCCGTCATTACGCGGCCGCCGTGGAAGAGAGGAGGGCGGTACGGATGCAGCGTTCCAAGGATCTAAAGTATGGGTGAACTGCAGTTCATACCTTTTGCACCGAGTTCTCACAAGGCTGTATCACCTATTTATTATAGCAACCAAAACTTTATTCAACTTCCATGGCCTGGTAATGCTAAGACGCCCAGCAACCGCGCTTGCAGGATCGAGGCCACGCACCTACACCATGAATGCACACGAAGGGGGACTTCCTAACCTGATTGATTGATTGATCTGTGGGGTTTAACGTCCCAAAACCACTATATGATTATGAGAGACGCCGTAGTGGAGGGCTCCGGAAATTTAGACCACCTGGGGTTCTTTAACGTGCACCCAAATCTGAGCACACGGGCCTACAACATTTCCGCCTCCATCGAAAATGCAGCCGCCGCAGCCGGGATACGAACCCGCGCCCTGCGGGTCAGCAGCCGAGTACCTTAGCCACTAGACCACCGCGGCGGGGCAGACTTCCTAACCTCTGACCTAGCTGTCATGAATGCGAGGGTTATGCTTGGTCGAACCGTTAAACGCTCTGCGAGACCCACATAACTATGGCTAGCCACCATACCACAACTTTCAGAGGCCATCATGGCATGGTGTTGCCACTGGCTGCTGCCGCTTACTGGCTAGGATGATTTTCCTCAGCATTCGACTTCCCATGCAGGTAGCATGCCTTAGTGCATAAACCCGAGGCACACGGCACGATTTTGCGTCGGATTCCACGCGCAATGCGCCGGTACAGGAATTGGAGTGGCGTTTCATCGTATTGGGTCGCCAGATCGGGCGCGCGGCATTGGCAGAACTCGGCAAATTTTTTCTCATCCACTCGGCCCGGCGATCGCACGGCTGTGTCATATAGGTAACTAAACGGCGCACGCGACACCACAGGCGGAGTCTCAACTAACCGGCCTCCTCGTGTTGGGTGTGTCTAGAAAACTGCATATGTCAACGCATGGCAAAGAAGTGAAATCTCAGTCGTGTTGCCAAAACTGCAGCGCTGGACGAGATCGTCGCCGACGGCTGCCGCTACGCGCCGTAATTGCGACAGGCTGTTGTGATGTCTTTTTCGATCGCATATATAGTTTCATCGACTGTTCTCTTGTGAATCGCGCAAAAAAGCATGAGCACTCGCCTGTTGCGTTCCAGGACCACCCATTTTGGAACCACGGCCCATCAAGTGTCGCGCTGCATGTTGATGCGTTTTTGATTCCCAGCCACGGCGGTTGAATTTTGTTGGGGGGCGAACAGACATTCGTGAGCTTAAGTTTAAAAGCTCATTAAAAAAATTCGGCAGATCCCACGTACCTGGGAATCGACGTTATGCGAAGCATGCGGAGGGAAGGTGACCATGTCACAATTTTCTTTATTGAGCGACACGTCACGAAATGACGCTAAATATGTGTACAAATGTTGCACGCAGAGACATATGTTGAAGAATTGCAGATGTTTGCGTAACCAGTTGTTTGCACTTGCGCAACGATGTCAACTGGAACATGCGTATTAGCAACACCAGAAGCTGATATGAAGCGCTGATGTTCGCTAGGATGCTGGCCCTGGACACTGCTACGTAAACTTCAGGGCATGGCAACTAACTACAATCGACGTTAACCAGACGTGACGGCTGTATAAAAGGAGTATATATGTAATGTTTATAAAATTGGGTAGGCAGCACTGCAACCACTATTAACGTTTCACGAAGATTAGCATCTATTTGAAAAGAAGCTCCGAGACCTGGCCACGGAACTGGCATAGCTCTGCGGTAAAATGCTTCATTGCCACGCAGAATACTTCGGTTCGATTCCAGCTGGAACCCTGAGATTTATTCTTTGCATTCGTCGGGTCGACGCTACCAACGTCCGGTATTGCTTAACGCTCACGCGTTAAAACTGCCCATGTGTGTTCTCGTCGTTCCTGGGGTTGATACCGAGTGTCATCCCCTGTGGCACATACCCGCATACCAGCGGCACATACCCGCCTGTCGGTATGTGCCGCTGTCTGGCGCGAAGTGTTTGACGATGTACGCGACGGGATTGTGGCATTATTCATGTCTTGACCAGCGCGTCATATTCGTCAAACCATCTTACCTCCCATGCTAATTTTGGTTCACGCCAAGTTAAGGGGGTGACCACGAGAGTACCCAAACGTAAGCCGCTAGATGATAGATATTACGCTCAAAGTCACCGAAGTTCGCTAAGAAATGCTTCGCAGTTAAAATCCTAAAGGTGATCGAAATTATCCGGGGCTCTTCACTATATTGTCCCGTAGTAAATTGGCGCAAAAATCTGAGCATTTCAGTTGCAGCCAAGAGGCAAACAGGCTTTAATCGCGCGATGCAGTCGTCCCAATGGGCACGCGGATATCCCATTGTCTTTTCTGTCGCAGGTTCTAAGGTTCCCACGTTGACGACGCTTCCCACGGTGTACTGTCCGAGCTAATGAGGTGCACGCGATTTCTCTTGTACCATTTACTCATTACTGAAGCGCATGGATTCAATGATGTTGCACGAACATTATTGACCGCGACTCACTGGCCGCACGCACAAGCACTTTCGGGGCACATACATATGACAACGACGACGACGACGCACTGCCTGCGCGTAGTCGCCAGGCAAGTCAGACTTGAGTCGCCAGACTTGATTGGTCATTTTCACTTCGCTTACCGGACTTTCTGTCTTTCTGGCTGAATTCATGGCAATAATGTTAGCTTTGCGAAAGGTAAATATTTCCATTCCAGTCGTAGCAGTCATTACTGATTCATTATCAGTGTGCTCTTCTCAGTCCGCATCTGGTCACTCACCTATAGTGAAACTTTTTAAATCGTTGATCCCCTGTCATCTCCGAAGTATTCATTTAATCTGGACACCAGGGCACAAAGGTTTGTTGTTAAACGAAATAGCTGATTCTCTTGCGAAGGCATCCCTTTTGACACCAATTATTCCTATTTTCCCTCATACGGTATACATTACGGTGGCGCGATTTCGCACACTTAAAATCGGGCAAAATTTATCTGACCCTGCACTGACGGCTTCTCCAGAGTACAAACACTTGTTATTTCCCTGGCGCAGTGAACTGACTAACTCAAGGATGATGGAAGTTGTCATCACGAAATTTCGTTGCCGCGTTACCTCCCTCAATTTTTACTTGCATAGATCTGGCATATTGAATTCCCCTATGTGCATTTACTGTAATCAAGAGGAAACGATCAGTCATTATTTATTACATTGTCGCCGTTTCGATTTATTCAGGCAAAGCATACTAGCACCACCTCTTCAAAGACTGGGCTTGCAACTATCACAACCTGATCTTTCATTTGGAGCCTCTACACTGGGTTTCAGCCACGGGGATGTTTTATTCGTCGTTCAAGAATACATCACTGCGACTAAACGATTTTCTTGCTAAATTGCTGTCTCACTATTTTTCTTCTTTTTTTTCTGCAAACTTGATATCGGTATTTCAAATCAAAATTAAGTTACAAAAAAAATTTGTAGGAATGACGCAATGCTGAAAGTTTAGGGCAAATTCACCTTATAATCAGCCAATCCCCTTCTTTGGGTACGAGCCATTTGCACAGGGAAACAACAACAACAGGCAAGTTTTCGTTTGAGAACTTCTTAGCCTAATCGCCGAGATGCTGAATGCATATTTTGCCGCTAAAAAACACGCACACAGAAGGCGAGGATGTTCGTGTCACGCCCTCTTTTGTGTGCGTGTTTTTCAGCTCCAAACATTAAATTACATTTATGCTCTCTTACCGGCGCCGCCATGCGGCAACCGTTTGTCAGCATAGGCAACTCTTCGCGGCATAGTAGAATTAGCGCACTTTTGTAGAATCACGTTGAACTGCGGTTGACAGACGTTCAGGCAAGTGCACATATATTACATTTGGATCCGACAGTGTACCAAAGCAGCAAATAGGGATTGACAAAGACAGGCACTTGTGTTTGCTCCACCCATTTTTCTTTAGTCTATATGCATCATGAAGAGAACAGTGCATTTTTTCACGCTAGCTTGCACATGGTTGCACTACCAAACGATCCGCGGGCAAACAGCACTAAACAAACTGCTATGTGTCCATGCCAAATACTTCCTTGAGCACAAGTTTCACTGTAGCTGAGCACAAGAATCAGTATTGCTCCTCAACGTAAAGCTCACTGCTCTGCCTGCAAATCTAACTGGGAAATTTGAACAGCAGTTCCAGCAAGCTTTCATGAATATTCTTTAACCGTGCACCTGAGTTTAAAAAATAATTTCATTCATATCAGTGGCCTTACTCACAGGTGTACTTAATAAGTAAATTTTTCCTTGTAAACCCTCTTCTGGCTCCTGCTTTTACAAATAACTCCAATACTGAAAATCTACACTTAGTATCACTGGAATGGTGAATAAATGTGACAGCAACACACTAGAATACTATTCAAAATAAGACTAGCAATTTCAGAACCGATGTGCTCCCAAAATGTGGAATCATATGGAAAAGCACGATTCCAGCAACATTCCTTCTTCAGCGACTTCCCATCACTTCATTCATCATTGTCACATATAATGAATAAATTCTGTAGTTTGAACACAGTCCAATGTTTGCATAACAGATCGATTTATTCGATTGATTGATATGTGGGGTTTAACGGCCTAAAACCACCAAATGATTACGAGAGGCTTCGTAGTGGAGGGCTCCGGAAATTTCGATCACCTGGGGTTCTTTAATGTGCACCCAAATCTGAGCACACGGGCCTACAACATTTCCGCCTCCATCGGAAATGCAGCCACCACAGCCGGAATTTCATCCCGCAACCTGCGGGTTAGCAGCCGAGTACCTTATCCACTAGACCATAGTAGCGGGGCAAGGTTTCCACAACAGTCCACACATCTTGCCATATTCCGCAAGAATGTTGAACTTAATATCAGAGTTTTTGTTCAACAGAGCTTATCTACGTGCGGTGCAAATGAAAAAAAAAAGTAACAGTACATTCTTCCAGTATTGTTTATTAATATATATTAACAAAGCTAAAAAATGTGCTTAGAATCAGTACACATTGCAGAGTACCATACACATTATCTGTGACCACAATTCCACCATAAGTGGCAACACATTCAGACTTCACATAAATTCAGCTGCAATAAGCAGCCATGGCCTCCTGCTTAAATTCTGAATGCCAGTAGTAAGCATCCTGCTTGCATTACATGAGCCATTTCTTTGATTTCCTCTTTCATTTGCCTTGAGTGAGGTATATCTTCAACCATCTCCGCCCAGCTTTGACGTTCCATCTTCGGAACTGGTATTGACGAAGAAAACACAGACGCACAGCTGTACTGGGTAATAGTTCTCACCCACTACTTCAGTTGCAAGTTTATGTGGTCTAGCATGTAGCCGAGAATTTCGCAGTCAGCATAGGTGTGCACAATGTCAAAAAGTTTTCCGAGCTGCAGATGGGCAATACGAGGCTATTCAGCTTTTGCAACGAAATCCACACCAGTTAAATTTGTGGACACAAAATTACATGAAGTAACATCAAAATAACTGCGAGACTGCTTTTAGTGCAACTGGGAGAACATTATTAGCAATGCAAAACTAGATACCTTCCGCACATACAAATGTAAAAAAAATGTAGAAAGGGGGAAAAAAGAAACAAAAACAAGCACACTTTAGCAGTAGTATAAAAGCCATGAAAGTTAGGCACTAAATAATACGCATGAAAATACAAATAATTAAGCAACGTTGTGAATTGGAATCACTGCAACCTGCGCTGGGCAATGAAAAATTCCAAGAAAATCACACCAGCTTGTCACAACACAGCACAAACAAGGTCATGCAGAGAAACTGTGGCCAATCAGATGTGACAAGATGACACACAATATAAGCTCCTTTAAAAAATCCTAATATAAATATGAACTCATATGTAAATAGATATGTATACATCTCATATCACAGGGGAGAAAATGATAAAAACCTAAGCGCACACTCTAATCTCTCAAACAACCATTCACCGCTGAAGCAGGACCGAACAGCGGCCCTTCGATGACACCACAGTGACGTGAAACTCTCTTTTTGTACCAATTCTGCTGGTGAGCCCGCGCTGCCAGAGTTCACCCTGCATCGACCAACGTGCAGGATGAACAGAGTAAAAATAAACAAAAGAAAAAAAGTCAAGTCCCCACATTTTGATTTACATGACGAATGTTGCTGCAACTGACGATTCACGATTGATATATGACAATTGTTGCTAATAGCAGTAGCGGCAGCTGTGGAATGAAATGGAGGCATATGACTGCTAAGCAAATATTCCTTTGTGCGCGCATTGAATTTAATCCAAAGCAATGCGATGATGTTCGATAATGATTCGCAACAAAATGTTTCTCCCCGAGATTAGCGAGATGATGGCCGAGCTTAAGAAGCAGCAATGAATGCCATGGTAACATGTTGGCCACTGGGCCACCAAAGCTTACATCAGTAAGCAAGCACCTCATAAAAAAAAAAGGTGGGCATTCTTAAAAACAAGCAGTAACGAAAAAAACTAATGCCGCTCTGGCAGCGAACTGCCAACCCCGTTTCCATTGACATACCATTAGTGGTTCATTCCAAAGAAGCTAAGAGCAAAAGTGGGGCGCAATCAAAAAGGCGCCATCTACATGACGGACTATAACCGCTTGCACATGGCAACTATAGTGTTGTACCATCTTATACATCACAATCAACAGACTATGTAAAGCTTGTATACTATAGCGGCATTCAACAAAATTAACAACTTCAGGCAAAGCATAATTGAGGCGGGCGTAAAAAATACATTGTGACTCGAAGCTGCTGATCCACTGACAATGTGGTGTGAACAAAAATAAGCATTGTGCTGACTAAAACAAATATAAAAACGAGCACCTCTTATGACTGTAGACCAGGATTTTCGAATGAAAAGTGCTGGAAAAGGAAGAAAGGGCCGGGAGACAGTCGATAAACAACAACCAAATTATCATAAAACCTTTCAGCAAATAGCAGAGTTGTGTCGTAGGCCAGAAAGCAGCACTGAAATTTTTTTATCGGAATAAACAAAACAATTATGCTTTATGAGAAAAATTCAAGAATCATTTACTCCTAAAACCGTAGACACTTTAACATGCGCCACGGATGTCAGTGAGCAGTACTGTTGAAGAGATCAGCACATGTACATGCAATGAGGGTAAACAAACATTGAACAGCAATACACATTTGATTTCCATTTGAGATCTTAGTTCCTAGTAGTGTGTGTTTGTATTCTTATAATATACTTTCGCACCTTCCATCACAAAAAAGGGGGTCTAGAGGAAGCTGCATGGTTAAATGTGAACAATGTAGTCATGCATCTGCATAAAAGGAGCCCGATTTGAATAAAATGAACTACTAGCATCAGTCCAGCTATATTAATTGTACATTTCCATACTAATGTGCATTATGTTGGCAACTTGGCAACCTTAATTATGTACAGACAGCGCATAGGTGCACTATGCGAAAGAGGCACAAAAATGTGCACTCTGCTTTATAGGTGCAAATTCATTAAAGTAACTAAGTAGATCGTGGTCGAAATTCGTGCAGCACACTAGCATTTTGTTCATATTTAACAAGTCTGGTATAGACAAAAAAAAAACAAAAAAGGACTAACATATAAATGCTAATAAACAAACACCAAAATATGTTACCAGACTAGGCTGAACTAGAAAATTGGGTAAACTTCTCACCATTCCCTCTGTATAAGAACATTTGTCATACTGCCTGCTCACTAAAAATTATTTTTTACTTGAGAGACCAAAACCAAATGCTAAAAACCTGGGTCGCTAGACTTCTCAAAAAGGCATCAGGGTTCAGCCTTACATTACTGACATTGTTGAAGATGCAACTTATTCAAACATCATTGAAAAAACTGAGACATGTCTCAATGCATTTCGCGCATATCAATTATTTTTAAACACCCAAGTAATAGTAGTCGCTCAACTGCTAGTAGCTTAGGGAGGATGAGTAAAGAGATATAACTTTCATCCCCTACACAGCCGGCAGCTGATCTCCAATAGTGACTTTTCAATTATGTTATAGTAATTGCTTGTATAATTAGCCATCATATAAGAAAGCCAAACTACATAACGAATCCATCAGCAAGCACCCTAAAAACTAATATTGCAAAAAAAAAAACTATTAGTTCTGAAACAATTGCTGTAAATGACGGAAAACCACAGCCTTGCCTTAATTGTGTCACTGGACACAAAACTGCATTACGACAGTCCTTGCCAAATTAAAGTATGTACATTCACAGTCTCGTTACTTCGTCACGATCTAAGCCTTCTACCCTGGGCGGCATCGAATTTGCAGTGGACGCAACAGACGTGGGAGGGGGAAGTGGAACAGCGAGCGGTATTCTGTCTTCATGGTCTGAGAGGGGCGAGGGTGAAAGACGCGACTCAATGCTGCCGGCTTCAGAAAAATCCGTGCTCTCTGAGAGGCCTGTGCAGCGCGAGAAATCTGTGCTACAGCGCGACTCGAGCCCATCCCAGGACCCCTTGGGTGTGGGAACAGTGCTGGCCGGAAGGCTGCGTGATGCCTGACGACGGGCAGCTGCCGAAGAGGCCTTGGGGAGCGTTGCAAATTGCTTTTGCTGAGAGACTGGTGATGCATGCGTCGTAGAGGTCGCTGAACTCGCCCTGCACAGCCCACAGTCACAGACGCTATAGCATCACCACTGTCCCCACACACGCTTTGGTTGCATTGTAGGGAAAAGCGCGACATTCACAATGAATGCCCTCATCACAACTGAAATTCGGCACATAATACAGTGACAATCGAGACCTTTTCAGACATCTCTTTCATTAGCCTACAAAACATACATTCAATCAAATGTTCAGAAATTTCCTACCACATGTAGTTACTGAAGAAGACAAGCTCAGCTTCAGAGTTAGTTTACAGTTAAATTCTTTTATAAGAGACACACACCATGGAGCAATTTTCATATTTTATATGAGGTGTCTATTATGAGCAGAATACCATATTTATGCATTTTCTTAGGAACCTTTATTTCAGTGGAGGCTCACTGCTGCCTCTTATAAAAGAGGTCGATTGTACATCTATAACACAGTGAAGTGAAGCACGCAAGAGAATGCTCAAGGCCGAAAATTCATTGGGACCTTCTGTATATGGCAACACCAATTATTGATGCAGACAGCAATAACAGCACAACAAATTAGCGATATGTAATAAAATAATGTCAAATGATGGCTAAGCTAAAAAAATACAATGGTCAAACATGCCGATCCAACATAAGGCTTAGAACAAATTGTAAAAAATAAGAACTAGAATGCACATTGTTTTTAAAAATCATAAGAATGTTAGAAAACGTTAGTGATGTCATGAAAAAAAATGGCCAGCAATAGAAGCTCATCAAAAATGGTTTGGAGATGTTTTGGAGCAGAAAAAAAGGCCTATTCGTTGTAATCTAAGTGAGAACCAAAGATAACAGTTTTTACACGAGTGTCCGATTTTCATAATGAAAAAAAAAAAGGATGAAAAAAATGGAAGGCCCAATGATCACACCCTTAAGCGCGAATGAAAAGAAGAAAACAAACAGAGGTGCAAGTTGCAAGTTGTTCACCTAGAGTTACCTAACGAAATCGGCGACCTCATTTGTACGGTTCGTAAATGTTCCTGTTAACAGACTGTGAGAGCCTCTATTTTGTTACTTGCTGTCAGAAACTAATTTTCCACTTTTGGCCAGTTGCCGAAGCACACCTCCGACTCACTCGAGTAATGGGCTGCCTCGCTGTAGCCCTCTCTTCCAAAAGAGGAGTAACCTTACAAGAAAAGATTTTCTCATAGTATACAAAACACATCTTCGAGACTGCTGTGACAGGACACTTTTCTGAAGCAAAATGCTGCGAGTATCAAACTTGAAGAGAGCAATAACAAAGGAGACACTGCACTCCTGCAACACAGAGAATGTGAAAAATAAGCACCATAGTTACCACCAAGAAGTGAACTGCTACCACTGCTCATTGGCACTGTTGGATGTAAAGGGGGCCAGTTTTGATTTGTACTAGATTTTAACTTGCATATGACTTTAGGACCAGTCTTTCTTGAAAAAAAGATGTGAATTATAATTGCATAAATACGATACTCTAGAAAAAAAGCACTCACTTGAGTGTCTCACATGTATATACCATTGTAGCTGTGTAACTTTGAAATCACAATTGCTTCATGGTAAGAACATTTTCATATCTCAGTCGCTCCATGTACCCTTTAATTTTCAATTTTGCCCTGCTTCTATCTATATAAGCGGTCTGAGCTATTCCTACATGACCTAAATGTATGCAGTTTTACGTGGCAGTCAGCTACACAAATGTTTATTAACGTGAAAATAAAGTTCCATGATTTTATCATTTCCTAATGCCATACATTTAAAAACACTACATTTTTCTAACTAAAAAAATCAAGAGAGCGTTCAAATTTCTACACACTTTTGACCATTCAACATCATTTTGATGTACAGTGCCGTCCACTGCTAGAGTAAACACGTGTCCGCGTTTCGCGAAGCGCCACTGCTGATAGCGCGGCCATTCATCGAAACACAGCTACGGAGGCGTGGCAGTGCCTGCAGGCGTGGCTTCGCATCGTCTGCTACAATGATTGCGCTATTCGGCACACCAAGCATGCACTGCCGTGAAACAAACTTTGCTTACAATGTCACATATTTTCTGCAGCCCATGCAACTTCAGTTTACCATTTTAAAGACGTGCCAGAAGCCATCTTCATTTTATCGACTAAAATACAAGTGGCCCTTTGCATACACGCACATATGTCATTTTTAGAACTGCTGAAGTTAACGAATATTTATGGCTTTTTCTCCGATTTTCAAGCTATCTGGCACTGTATATGAAAATAACTTACTTCATTTTCATGGTTCTCTTGCGGCATGAGGAGAAAGACTGCGAAGTTGTACCCAAAATACTAATAAAGCCTAATCTCATTTGCTGTAAAATGAGAAGAAAAAAATGCAAACAAATGGGTGCACTTTCACGTCCCGATGTATCGTTGCAATCACAAAGCGACGGCTTCCCTTATATTCATGATATTGCAGTAGGCGTAACGGATGCTTGTATGATGATATATGGTGTTTTTTGGCGCAAGGGCCATTTGATGGCCAAAGAGTGCCAGTTCATGGGATAAGGAATGTGGACAATGATTGTGATTAGCGGCTGTATAAGGGCCATAAAATTCCTCGCGGTAAGGCGGGTAAAAACATACAAGTAATAAAATCATGACCATGACGTGAAAGGTGTGAGTGGTGCGAATAGATGACGAAAGTTGGTGATAATAAAAACGATGGCGGACATGAATGGCATTAGCACAAGTGCCTCACTCGTTCGTACCCTTGCGTCCAAGGGCCGTGAGGCAAGTGCTTTGTTGTGTAGCCACCGCAGCGAAAACCTCTATGGAGAGGTCGTGCTACGGAATGCCCGGGTATATGATATGAAAATTCTGAATTTCTTTTAAAAACACTAACAATGATTTATAACTAAAAAGCGGTTCCCTACCAACGAACATTGCAGGGTGTAAAGGTATATGTTGTCGGTAGGGTAACGGAAAATGGTTTTTTCTTAGAGATTCTAAGTGTTTGCACTGAATTAACATGTGAAGGACTGTCAATGCTTCACCACATCTGTCACACAATGGTGGATCGCCACCGGACAAAGGATATGTGTGTGTCGTGTATGTGTCCTATCCTGAGTCTCGTTAGTATTACCTCAGTATGACGCGATTTTGACACTGGCAGCCAATGACCAAGGTGTGGCTTAATAATGTGTAGTTTGTTTTGTGTGTGTGTATCCCACTTGCTCTGCCAGTACACCCCGAGGTTTCGTTTGAGAGACGGCTTAAGATCAAGGGCCGGGATTGATATGGGTGTAAGGGCAGTACTTTTGTGGACGGATGCAGCGAGCTGATCCGCCCTCACGTTGCCTTGAATCTCTCGGTGCCCTGGCACCCAGCACACTACAACATGTTGGTTGAGTGTGTAGAGTGAGCATAAAATAGAGTAAAGTGAGACGAGTACCGGGTTTTTTTTGTTTTTTAAGACTGTGCAGAGCCGTTACCACACTGAGGGAGTCTGTATAAATTACTTATTTTTGTATTTGTAATTGTTTGATGTGTTTAGCTGCCACAAGTATCGCGTAAGCTTCCGCTGTGAAGATACTTGTGCCTGGATGTAGAGGGCCAGCATCCGAAAAGGATGGGCCGACAACAGCATAGGACACAGAGGAGTTGGACTTGGAGGCATCTGTAAAGAACTCAGGACGTGTGTATTTGTGTTGAAGTTCCAGGAAGTATGTTCGGATATGGGCAATAGGCGCATGTTTTGTAACTTCAAGAAAGGACACATCGCAGTCTATAGTCTGCCATTGCCACGGTGGCGGATATGCTACAGGAGCCATTAAACTGTGTTCAAGTGAGACTCCAGTTTCCTCAGCTAGACTTTTCAGGCGAACTGAGAAGGGCTGCCTCATCGAAGGCCTGTTTTGAAACAGAATGGAGCTCGACAAATCATTAATAGTAGAGTATGAGGGGTGCTTCTTATCTGCTTTCACCTTAAGGAAATAAACAAAGTACATGTAAGTTCTCTGCAGATGAAGCGACCACTCATTTGACTCAACATAAAGGCTTTCTACGGGGCTGGTGCGAAAAGCACCCGTAGAAAGGCGGATGCCCAAATGGTGCACGGGGTCCAGCATCTTCAAAGCACTTTGAGTTGCAGACTGATAAACAAGGGCCCCATAATCTAAGCGGGTGCGAATGAGGCTTCGATACAGATTCATGAGACTTTGCCTGTCACTACCCCACGTAGTACGTGACAACACTTTTAGAACATTCATGGCTTTTAAGCATTTTGTTTTTAAATACTTGATGTGCGGTACGAAGGTCAACTTGTTGCCCAATATTATTCCTAAGAATTTATGCTCCGCATTAACAGACAAACGTTGACCGTTCAGTTCAATGTCGGGTTCTAAGTGCATGCCTCTCTTTCGAGAGAACAAGACACACGTGCTTTTTTGTGGGTTCAGTCGGAATCCATTTTCCTCTGCCCATTTGGAGACCTTGTTTAAACTTAACTGAACCTGCCGCTCACACATTGCCAGATTGCAAGACCTAAAGCCAAGCTGGACGTCATCGACATATGTACAATAAAACATATTGCGAGGGATGATCAAGCGCAAGGAATTCATTTTTATGAGAAAAAGTGTGCAGCTAAGTACACCACCTTGTGGCACGCCTGTTTTCTGGACAAATGTTTGGGAAAGAACCGTGCCCACACGGACACGGAATGTCCTGTTTGACAGGTAACTTTCGATTATGTGAAACATTCTTCCACGCACGCCAAGGTGGGACAGGTCTCTTAAAACTCCAAAACGCCATGTTGTATCATAAGCCTTTTCGATATCGAGGAACACAGAGAGGAAATATTGTTTATGGACAAAGGCGTCTCTGATCTGTGCTTCGATACGAACAAGGTGATCTGTGGTGGATCTACTTTCTCGAAACCCGCACTGAAATGGGTCGAGCAAATTGTTTGTTTCAAGAAAATGTACAAGTCGGCAGTTTATCATTTTTTCGAAGACTTTGCACAAGCAGCTTGTAACTGCTATAGGCCTATAAC